GGGACGTCCGAGCGCTAGCGGACTAACAGCGTGGTTGGTTTCCTTTGTACTGGCCGACTTCTGAAAGAACGTCGAAAGCCTCTAATTTTTTTTCGGGACTCCTTGTCTGCGGATAGTGATACGTTTTTTTTGTTGCTGTGATGATCTTTTTTTATACAAGGTCAATCTCCGATATCGTTCTATTGTAATGTATTGCTCGCTTTTTTTCGCCTCATCGTCAGTTGTGTAACGTGGGAGCATGGACGGTAATGGCGTCGGCGGCTACCCGGATGGGTATCCTAGAGGTGGCTGCGCATCAGCTCATGCTGTCGCTGTGGCTCGTGATCGCTTTCGTGCAAGGTGAGGCCTGGCTGCATGTACCTACCACAGGCAGAGGTGGTCCCGAGATAATGCCGGGCACCCGGTATACATTGCGGATGAAATCGCGTGACACGGATATTTGAGTCGTTTGATGTTCCGAATATTGCCGGGTGCCCGCTCTTTAATACCCCGGTTAAATTGGTGTGACACGTACCGGCTAAAAGCCGGTACCACCGCTGCTGTGACCCAGGATAAGTACAAATTAAATCAGAGCTCACAAAAATTTTGCCAGGGAGGATATCAAATCCGTGGCCACACGGAAGGCTTCCTCTCCCTTGGCGTGCTTGCAAATCATTTTTTACGCGAAAAATCGTATGTTTTTCTATTTTGCGAACTTTTACCGGCCGGCTCTCTCTCGGTGCCCAAGAGTCCCTCGGCTCCTCCGGCCAAGTCCTTGTGGCACAGTACCTGGGCTTGGCCCGAGACTCTCAGAAGGCTTCGGGGCTGGACCTGAAAGCGGCATGGGGCGGGGCCGCTCTTGAGTCGAGGGAAACCGCGAGATCCATCGCCAAGCGTGTTCTCACGCTCAGCCTAGGCTTGGGGTTTAGCCTGGCGGCGTGCTCGAGGTTGGTGTTTCCGGCGCTGCTGTCTGTGGTATGCCAGTCTCGTGAGGTTGCGGCCCTCGTGTCTCAGGTGGGTGTGGGCTGTATGTGATTGGGATGGGTGTGTACGCTTGTACGGAGGATTGCACATGTGCTGTTGGGTGAGAAAGAAATAGAGAGAGAGGGAGACAGAGACAGAGACAGACAGAGACAGAGACAGAGACAGAGACAGAGACAGAGACAGAGACAGAGAAGGGCGTGATTGCCGTATCAGAAGACAGTAACAGACCACGAAAGGTCAAGGTACTTTTTTTGCGTGGTGTTGACAACTTTTTGGTGTTCGAAAATGCCACCGACCTATTTAGCAGGCAGGCCTTCGTTGTGAGCCCAGGGACCCCACTGAGATCGTAGGTACCTTGAGGGAAGCACACGAACCTCGTGCCGGTTCTGCCATCTTGATTGCCATGCCAGGAGCGGTTATGGTCACGGATTACAGACAAAGGACTGGCTCCTTGCCTCGCGAGATGAGCCGCAAACAGGTTGCTCTCTTGTTAACAAGCCCAAATGAAATGAGTACCATATGAACCCTACCTACTAACGAGGGCTTTCGACTGAGCGTGTGTCCAGAGCTTACAGACATCATGGTGAGGAGTTAAGCTACGTTTACCGTGAGGTAGCCTTGTTTTTGTGACGGACTCCCAGATTTGCTTTCTTGTTCTTGCCGACCACCTGCCTGCTTGCCACCCGCGTACCGCTCGCCGCGCTCGCTCTCCCGATAACGCTGTCCACACGCCCGATACGATGGCGGCGGCACCGCCCGGTAGGTGTTTCCCACCATCCTGTACGCCTTCCCGATGTGCTGCGTGGTGTGGACTTGGGACTCCCTATTCTACGGGGCCTCTGATTTCGTGTACAATGCCAAGACCGTGGCGGTGGCTTCGCTGTGCGGAGTCGTGGGTACGTCTTATTGCCGCATTTTTTCCACCTGGATAGAAGCGTTGTGTTTGTCTGCTGCTTGCTAGTTATGTTGCGGTATTCGCGCGCTCATGATAGTTTTTTGTCGCTCGGTCGAGGACCTCGTTGTCCCACCTCCCCCCCCTGCGGTAGGTCTCGAGTTTTTTTGTTCCCGTATGCTGATGCGGCGGTAATCGTTGCAGTCGCGCTCCCAGCTACACGAGAGCTAACCATCCTCCGCCTCCCCCACCTCTCTCTCTCTCTCTCTCTCTCTCTCTCTCTCTCTCTCTCTCTCTCTCTCTCT